TTTTGGATCCTCCCAGGGGTCTGGGGACTGCTTCGGGGCGCATGTCCAGAGTGGCCCTGACGTGGGCGGCCAAGTACCAGCGCGCGCCTGCAAGGCGTACTGTACTGGTAAGGGCGCGTGGCCTGATCGAAGATGGCCGCCCAACCCTTGGCCAAAGTTCGCGACACCAGGCGGCGCAAACCGTCGCCGGTCGCGATGCCACGAACGCCCCCGTCAGGCTTGCTGAGCGCCGTCAGGCGGGCTGCGGAAATCCCCCTGGCGATGTCAGGTGACACCTCTGCGCTGGCCAACTGGGACGCAGCTTCCGCGAGCAACTCCATGGCCTCCACGTCCTGCAGCAACAGTTTGAGATGCTCGGTTCTCATGCCCGACAGGCCGGCTGCTCCTCCTCGGTGTGTTTCCCGGAGTGCGGATGCCACTGCTCCAGTTGCCAACCTGGTCGGTTGCTGAGGCTGGTGTTGCAGCACCTCTTCCGGGATTTCGCGGCGCAGCTCGGGAGGTCGACGTGCTGGGTCCGTGAGGGCCCGCAAGGTGGCCTGTGTGCCAGGTGCTATTTCGGCAGCCGTGAGGACTTGGCGCGCTCGGGACACCTCCGCTTGGCGCACCTTGGCACAGACGCGTCGGCGCTTACGTTCGCCGGCGCCATCCTGCTGCGGCTCGTTCCGGGATGTCGGCTGCTGAGCAGCTTGGCGGGCAGACCGAAGCAGCTGTGGCCACTCGCCTCGCTGGAACTTAGCTGCCCTGCTCAGCAGTTCGGCGCGCCCCTGCGAACCTTGCTGCGGCGTGCGCGCTAGCAGCATACGCGGTGTCAGCAGGAAAAGTTTCCAAGCCCTCGATGCCGCTATGGCCGAGCCTCTTGCTCCCGACGCCGAGCGCGTGGGTCTTTGCCTGCACCAGTGCTGCGCGCACTGCCGCGCGCATGAAGGGCGGAGCGTGCTGCAATGTTGGGACGGGGTGTTGCATTTCTTCCAAGAGGTCGATCGAATCCAAGCTCTGCCATGCTCCGGCTGCCGAAGCTGATTGTGCTGTCGCTGTAAGGTAACCAACCGTCGGGGGCCATGCACAGCAGGACCGCATCCGGCAAAGACAGGGGAGCTGCTGGGAGGGCCTCAAGCCCGGATGCAAAGGCCAAGTCTGCCTGGTGCGGCCCCGGTCCTCCATCGCAAGCTGCGCATTCGAGCAGCTGGTGCAATGTGCGCGCCAGCTGGGATGGTTGTGGCGGCGGCATCATCTGCAATGCAGCGGCGATTGCCTCGAAGCGCGGGCCAACATCTGGCCAGGAGTTCCACGCTCTGTGGGCGTCCTCGGTCATATGGCCTGCGGCTGCGTGCAGCATTGGTACGAAAAGCCACGAATCGCGTGCACCGGGCATCGAGCTCGGTGGGCGGGCATTTTGCTACCGCAGGGGAGGTGCGTGCGGGACAGGGGAAGGCGGTGGCGTGGGCTCGCATGTTCTGGCGACCTGATAATAGTGCGGGCCGGGCTTGGCGAGCGCCTGGGCTCAATTGTTCCGACGTTATTGTGGCGATCTACGCGGGGTCTTCCGGCGGCTCGCACAGCCGCATCTGCGCGAGGGCGTGTAGGACGCGGCTCCGGCGGTGCTCTGCGTCGGGCAGTTCCGGTCCCGGGTGGGCTGCCTCGCCTATGCGACGTCCGTGGTGCGGGTGCGGCGTCTTCGCGTCGGCCACTCGCCCGGAACGTGACTCTCCTCTCTGATGAACATGGTGCAAGCAACCACGCACGTTTTGTCTGCTCTGGCGGTCTGAAGGTCTGAACGCCAGTGAAACGGGGATTAAAAACCTCTCAAGCTCTGCCGTTGAGATCAAACATGCCCGCACGGTTCGCCTAACTTGAAATGCTTGGCTCAGCAGGTCACTTGCATCAGTTGCCTCGGACGGCGGCCACAGCCGCTTGGGCAGCCGCTGCGGCGGCTTGCTGCGCGAGCTGTCGGTCGGACCTGTTGCCGCCACGATCTCTGCCTCCGCGGCGAAAGTTTGCGTCCTTGCCCTTGCCATTGCCCTTGCCCTTGCCCTTGCCCTTGCCCTTGCCCTTGCCTCGTCGCGGGCGCTCTGTGCGTCCGCCTCCTTTGGGTCCATGATCACGAGGCGGGCTGATTGGGCTTCGGCTCCGGCTATGGCGCCTGCTGTGGGCACGGCGGGGCTCTTCGCCCTCGTGGTATTCCAGCCCCTCAGGCGTGGGGCTGCGAGAAGGTCCAGGCACCATTGCTTGCAGTGCGTCCACCACACCAACCAGGCGTACCACAAGCCTTTGGAGCCGTGCGATTTCCATACATGGGCGGCAGCAGCGGCCCTCCACTTCAGCGGGTCTAGCGCGGCAGATGCCGCAGGTGTCCATGCTTGTGTTGGGGCACGGCTACAAAACAAGACGAAGAGACTACAGCTGATGAGCTCAGCTTCGCATCCAAAAGGCTGCAGGCGGCGAGTTGCGCACAACAGAGCATGCTCATGCAACATGGCCCTTCCAAAGCTGCTACTACCCCTTGTTGCGCGCCTGGGCGTGCGTCGCTGCCGTCGCGTCTTTGCGCGGGGCAGCTGTGCTCCGTGAGGGGGGCGAATGCTGGCATGGCGAGCGGGCAAGTTCACCGCGTGTGGCGCAGCTGCCTCGTGCAGCAGACGGGCACAAAAGTTCTGCAGGCGACTGGCCCGCAGCCTCCGCTAGAGCTGTAAGTTCGGCCTCGCCGCCCTCCGCAACACAGTTCAACAACTCAAGTGCTGCAACTGTCCAAGCGGGAGCTGGCGAGGGACGCGTTGAGACCCGCATCCACGCCACAGCTATGCACGAGGCTCCCAACAAGAATCCTGCACACATCCAGCCCCAGCACAAGGAGCATGGCCCCCACCCCGGAAAGAAATACCGCGGCGGGGCCCCGCTGGTGCACGTGAAGAAAACGTGCACGGCGGCCTCGCGGCAGGTGGGGGGCAGCTGGGCTGCTGAGGGCGCAGCCCTCCACGCTTCGAGCACCAAGACTCTCAGCAGCGTCGGGATGGCATTCCATGCCAAAGCCATGCGTGGTAGCGCAAGCGAAGTTCGTTGCGAAGAAGGAAACGCCCCACTACTAGAGCACCACTGCAAGACTTGAGCCAAGATGGCTTGAGCCAAACCCAGTATTGCAAATTTGCACCGCCTAGCGCCGACGCACTTCGGGTACACAGTACTTATTGGGAGAACTCATAAGCAACATAACAACGATTAATAAATGAATAAAAACATAATTCACAATGAGCAGGTGTGACGTCGGTTGCTTGTTTTGGAATTGGTCATCGCAGAATCTGCCACGATCACCTGCAAAAGTTCGACACAGAATGGCGGCGGCTGCTTCGCAGCATGTTTGGTCCGTTTGGATTGGAATTTATTTTGTCATTTGGCATGAAATTTTGCATGGCTGGAATTTATTCGTGTGCGAACTCACGGAACGTTTCCACATACAAAATTGGGCGGAAACATATTTTTTCGACGACATTGGCAATTAGCACATCATGTCAATCGCCTCTTATCGAACACATGGGTCAGACGCATTTTTGACTGGTCATCGCAGGGGGTTCATGATCTAGGACGACCCCAGAACACATGGCCGACGCAACTGGAAGTATTCGCCAGAACCATGAATGGCAGCTTTCTTGTGATGCGCTCCTCGCGTTTGTGCAGCGGTGGAGATATGTACAACACAATGTTGTAACTCCGCACTTGCCTGCGCCCCGGAAAGGCCGCCTCATGGCATGCAGACTTGACTTGATCTGCCCTGCCTTGATGATGAGACTCATAGACTATCAACGAAATACAATGGTAAGGGGCGCAACCCCCCCTGTGGGCAAAGAAAATGATCCACACAGGCTGTTCGCGTGCGGCGGTGCGGGCCACATGCAACCGAACGTTGTGCTTGCGACCGGTTGCTGGACCGCGACCGCCAGCATGCATTACCAAGGCCGCGAAACCCCAGCCGCGGCAGCTGTCCTGACGGCAGGTGTTGCGGTCCCGTCTCGGCGCAGTTCAAGGTATAGACGCGGTGCTTGCGGCGTTCATTCGTGCGAAGCGCAGACCCATCAGACCCGTCAAACCCGTCGGTCTCTGTGGTTGCGGGCTGTGGTTAACAGCTCACGTTTGCGAAGGTGGATGTTACGAATCCGGGGCGCGTGTTGCCGCCAGCCACGTGGCCTGCTTCCAGGGTCTTCCTCCGCATTTTTTCATTTCCACCCATGTTTATGGCTCAAGCCAAACCGGGAGCTCAAACTGCAAGCTCAAATTATTGGGGCGGGTAGTAGGTTCTTTTTTTGGGGGGTTCTTTGCGGTGATCATTCGTGATTGACACGATTTTCCCAAGAGAACAGATGCAGCCAACAATGACACCCCCGTCTAAAAGCATGAAGAGAGCCCAGCGATCTCCCCTGAATGAAATGTATGCGGATGAACTAGCTGGGAAAGTGGGGTTTCATAAAGCATGAGATCGAGATCGATGACCGTTACGCAAGCATGAAAGTTGGCCCCAGTGTGGTGGTCACTTTGTCCATTCAACAGCGAGTACTTGTTTTACGACGCATCGGGCGCTGCTCACTCCGTTCTGCAGTCATAAGGCGGCGAGCAGGCGCTCATGCCGGGCTTATTCGCTGTTGGCATCCACCAAGCGTTGCGGGCCGCGCACTCCTCCTTGCAACCATGCGAAGATCTGTTTGCATTTCTGGGTGACGCGTACATTTCTTGCCCCACAGGATGCGCTGCCCCCACATTCAGGGCACTGCGTGAGGCGCTGGCCGCACACGCCAACATCGATGTGCACCTGGACCAAACGAAGGGCTGGAACTCTGGGGTGTTGAGCCGGTGGGCTTTATGGATGAGGTCCCTGCTGATCCGGACTGCATGGGTGGGCGACTGGACCCTCCCGGCCGAACAAAAAGGCATGGTGGTGCTGGGCACGCCGCTTGGGAGTCATGCTTTTGTGGCGGCCCACTTACCATCCAAATTGGAAGCCCACAAAACTTTGTTCTCCAAACTCCCCGCTGTCCCAGACTTGCAGGTTGCGTGGTTGTTGCTCCTCATGTGGCGCCTTCCCGCCGGTCTACACTGCAACGTTCGCGCGTCAGCACGATGAAGCATTCCTCACATGCTTGCAGGGTTTGTTGGCCAGTGGCGGGCCGCCGACGTGGGATGCTAATGTCACTCACCGGGCTCAGTTGCCGCTGCAGCTAGGCGGTCTGGGCCTGCGCTCCGCCGAAACCACACGGTCCCTACCCTCCGTGACTGGCACCCATACGTTGTGGCAGTGTTACTTTGCCAAGCTGAAGCACTCCGGTCGGAGTCACAGGCGGGTTGCACTGTGCCAAATGTTTCCGCGGCGCGGGCCCTGGCGGCTCCCGCGCCTTCACCGTGCTTCCCACCGCCCCGCATTTCCGCATGCCTTCGGACTGCATGCGTGTCCTGTTGCTCACGCGGTTGCGCTTCCCGTTCTATACGCCCAGGCGTTGTCGCTGTGGTGGGACCTTGGATGCCTTGGGAGATCACAGGCCCGCGTGCCCAAGAGCAGGCGTCTTGGGCCCGCGTGGCGCGCCTCTTGAGCGAGCAGCCGCCAGAGTCTGCCGTGAAGGCGGCGCGCGGGTAGCCACCGGCTGTCGACACGACTTTTGTCAGCCAGTTGGCCGGGACGGCACAGCGCGGGCGGGCACGAACCATGTGCCGGGCAAAGCGGCGGCACACGCGGCACGCCGGAAACGCCAGGCCACGTACCTGACAAGGATGCTGGCTGTTGCCGCGCAGCGGGCACTGGCCTTGTCACTCTTTGAGCTGCCGTTGGACAGGGCAGACGAACGTGACGGGGCGGAGCCGCCGCTGGCAGACCTGTTGGCGGACCCGCGTGTACCCAGTGGCTGAAAGCCGCAAGGCGCTGTTTTTTTTCACCGGACCTTTTTTGGTCTGCTGACTGAGGTCTTGGTCGGTTCTATGCCCGCAGCGGCAAACGGCTGGGGGCCCTCCTCTGCTGCCAAATGCAGCAGCTGGTCCAAGTCTGGGCCGGATGGGCACACGGCGGCGCCCGTTGCCTGCTGGTCCCAGCGCTGTGCCGGCAACTGCTTGCTGCACCGCCACTGCCAACATGCCACTCCACCGGCGCGCCTAAGCTAACGTCGCAGCGCGGCGGAGAGCTGGCGGGGCGCGCTGGGCGCGGACACGGACGAGGTCGCGCAGGAGTCGCTGCGCGCCGTCGTTCCACCGCCCGCCCACCTCAGCGCCCAGAACCACGAGGCGCTGCGGGCCACCCACGCTCAGCTCCGGGTATGTGGCCTGTTTGCGTTTTTCGGCCGGGCGCAGGG